GCATCTTTGACATGGAAAACTGCATTGAAGATTGCACAGGACAGGAAAGCATGGAAAGTCTTCTCTGAAGCCTCATGTGCCACTAGGCATAACGAGAACTGATGATGATCTCGGCTCCTTCATACTGAAGTGTAAAATTGATCCATCCTTGTATGATTTAAATCCTAGTGGTGTCATTTTGTTTGCAGCTCAGTTCTCATATGCAGTGACCTTCTCCTGTTGGTATTTACTTCGACGTATATATAAATGACTATTTATTATTTGTATAAAACTTGCATTTTCATAAAAGTTTCAATGTAATAAAATGTTTAATTACTTGTCAAGTTATATCGAAATGTGATGATCATCAAGTGCATTGCCGAGAGGCGAACAATCTCCAACCGTATGTAGTGCTGTACTTTTTCGGTTACTGACTTTCCTTTTAAGTTTGCAAAAAACGTTTTTCTTTCTTTGTCACCCACTATCTTTCTTTCCATGAACTGTCCCAGCAGTCGCTATGTATTCCAGTATTTCTTTTGGGCAAATGGGTAGCAAACAATAAGAACTACATTTTTATCTATTTTTGTGGAAAAAAATTAGTTTCTTATCTGTCTTTACATCACCATCATCATCGTGTGCCCTTTCAACTAGCGTGGGGGCTCATGCATCTCCACAGATCACTATCTATGATTGCCTGGAATAGCTCTCTTGATGATATCCCTCCATCCTATCGTTTCAGACCATCTAGCATCTTCTCTCTTGGTCTGCCTCGACCCCTTTTCCACTGATCTTTCCAGTTGTCGCGATGTTCTTCAATGTCTCTCTTCTCATTACGTGGCTAGAGAGCAGTGTTTGTCTCTTTCTTATTGTTGTAGATGGAGATCTACTTTTATTAGCTTCTTTCAAACAATTTTTGTTAATTACTCTGGCCGTCAAAGGTATTCGTAACATTCGTCTCAGAAACCACATCTCTGTTGCTTCCAAATTCTTCTTAATTTGTTCACTGACATTCCAAGATTCGCTGTCATACAGCAGAACGGGTCATATGCAACAGTTTAGCACTCTTTTTTGTCTTTACATAATTAAAATAATTACGTTGGATTTCTAAAGAATTTATATATATATATATATATAAATAAACTGGGTTGTTTGACTAGGGTTAATATTGACAAATTGTAGATTATTAAAGGAAACAGCATGCAGTGTGCTCTTCTTCTTCATCTTCTCCTTTTTCTTCTTCTTCTTCTTCTTCTTCTTCTTCTTCTTCTTCTTCTTCTTCTTCTTCTTCTTCTTCTTCTTCGGCGTTCACCGGCTGTAAACTCCAGCGGAAAGTTTTGATTGTCCTTCCATCTCCGGACTTAGGTCTTGTTCCAGAACCTGAGTGTTGCGTGTATATCCGTTTTACGGATCTGTCCTATTTTTATGCATATTGTTGGTTTCTTGTCTCTCGGGCAATTGCACGCCGGCTTCGAATTATGCCTACATTTAGTCGACTCTTACAATGAGGTAGTGAGTATTTTCTTGTTTTTCCCACATAGGGACACAGGAACCCACATAGGGACACATGAACCCACATAGGGACACAGGAACCCACATAGGGACACAGGAACCCACACGGGGACAGTGTGTTCAGGACACAATAGAAAATACGGCTGGGCAGTGCCTCACTATGTAAGACCGTGAACTTTCAATAGAGCCTAGACATATACAAAAACTGAAGGCAGGGGGCACAGTTTTCTAATGGGAAGATCTTCATCTCAAAGTCCATGCAATGTGGCGTTGATAGTCATGTCTATCCACAACCTTATTTCTCTTGTTCTTGAAGTCAACTCTGACGCAGATGATCTTACATGCAATGTGGCGTTGATAGTCATGTCTATCCACAACATTATTTCTCTTGTTCTTGAAGTCAACTCTGACACAGATGATCTTACATGCCATGTGGCGTTGATAGTCATGTCTGTCCACAACCTTATTTCTCTTGTTCTTGCAGTCAACTCTGACACAGATGATCTTACATGCAATGTGGCGTTGATAGTCATGTCTATCCACAACCTTATTTCTCTTGTTCTTGAAGTCAACTCTGACACAGATGATATTACATGCCATGTGGCGTTGATAGTCATGTCTGTCCACAACCTTATTTCTCTTGTTCTTGAAGTCAACTCTGACACAGATGATCTTACGTGCAATGTGGCGTTGATAGTCATGTCTGTCCACAACCTTATTTCTCTTGTTCTTGCAGTCAACTCTGACACAGATGATCTTCCATGTCATGTGGCGTTGATAGTCATGTCTATCCACAACCTTATTTCTCTTGTTCTTGCAGTCAACTCTGACACAGATGATCTTCTATGCCATGATGTCAAACTTCCCAGCATTTTTTTCTCTCTGTCTCTCACTGCCTCTCCTTTCCTCCAGCTTTCCTGCTGTCACTATATACTCCAGTTTTCTCCTTCTCATCACTTAAACAAATAATGTACGTAGGTTATCTCTTTCGGTGGGAAGACAGCATCAAGACTTGCAAGAACATCATTTGTTTTTTAATGAAGCCGGTGGTGTGGGGAGAGAGCTTTAGCAAAGCATAATTATGGAAAGGACACCACAATGATGTATGCTCTCATCAGATCAAAACTGCTTGTGGTCTGGAAGTTCTTTACTGATGAATGTTTCTCCATAGATCTGGGTATTTAGTGATCTGGAAATACCATATTAGAGCTAGCTCTCTAAGCCATCGTCGTACACTATACATCATCATTATTTTCTTCGACTGTTCCTTCTATCTTGATCTTCCAAATCTACATGATGTTCCTCGTTGTCTCTTTTGTTTATTGTTTATTTAAAGATCATTGACATCACACATAAGTGATTCCATCTCTTCCTGTGAATATCTCTACGACTGCCTCTTTTCTTCTTCAAAGAAGAATCCTTTAATATATATATATATATATATATATATATATATATATATATATATATAACTGCTGGTAATCCATGTTACTTACTCTGTTTGCCCTATGTATACGCACATGCGTCTTTGAAATCGTATCCTCACTGCATCCAAGCTATTCCTAATTTATTCGTTTAAGTTCCAAGATTCACTTCTAGATAATATTTCACCATAATTTATGTAACACTTTTTGCAAAAAATAATCTTCTTCCGAAAATAAATGTTGTTGGGTCTATCAGACTCTTAACTTCAGCCATGTATCTTTGGATGTTATGCTTAACCCCAATTATTTGTGTTTGAACACTTTGTTATTTGTAATTTTTCCTTCATTTGTTACCAAAAAAAGTGTATTTGATATTCGGGGAAAGTTTTAATACTGATGATGGTAACTGTTCCTTTGATGATTTATGTCCGGTAATATTAACACATCAAGAGTTCGAATCAAATAGGATTAAATCACATAAATCACATTCAATTATTTAAGTTAAATTGAGGCATCCCTAAAGTAAATATTAACTTGCAGTCCAAAAAGTAGTTTTATGTAAAGCCACGGGAGAGATGCATGATTTCAAAATGTTTAAATTGCTTGCAGGCGCTGGGTCATAAAGTCTTCATGCTGTTTAGTCTCTGCATTGCTAAAGCAAGTTTTTTTTTTTTTTTTTTTTGACGTTTTCTGCAGTCGCTATTGTTGTTCGTTACTTAGCCTTAATATTTAAAATATGTGACACTTTTAATATCTTTATTGTCGATTTCAGTTCTGATTAGTGTGCTGTATTCGTGAAGAAAAGATACCACACCATTTTTTTTATTTGAACGCCATGAAAAGAAAACCGCAAATAACACATTATCAGTTATAATGCCATGAAAACATTACAACCGCTACAACGATTAAACAAAGGAACTTATAAAAACAGAGGAAAGATCTGGTGCTTTTTAGCTAGTCCGAGCGGACTAAGTACATTCTTCGTCACGATCGTATAAATAATATCAAAAAAGGCGGAAATACAATAGTCAGTTTCCACTAATATGCCTTCACTCACAGGTGTTTGAAGTTTCTGAAGGAATATTGCTGATGTTATCGATCCACTAACGAAATAATAATTAACAGGAACACTACAGTGTATCCGTACATCATTAGTAGTAGCATTAAGCGATGCTCATCTAAACGGCCGTGCCGTTTTCTTCGGCCAACACGCAAGTCATTGTAGAACTGGCGATGGAACTCATCATGCCTCAAGTCTTCTGAAGATCGGAGAGGTCCTTTGTATTTTGAATGGTAGTCTTTCTTGAACGTTTCTGTGTGGCTTTCTGTCTTTTTGCGACTTGCAGTGGTGGTTGAATCAGTTCTGGGGGAAAATAAATACAAATGTTATTACATCGAAGTAAGATGTGAATATGAAACCAAGGGGAATATGGTGACGAGATGGGTGGTTAAAAAAGAGAAGGGAAGACAGAGAAAAAGGGACAACGAATAATCACAAGAATACTATAGAAAGAATATTGAATTAGGAATTGACATCATAGCATTCGAGACATAACCATATGTGCTGCATCTCCATCTTCAGCAGCAAACGAAGAGCTTCAATTCCGATAGTACCAGTGACTTTCCTTGAGTCTTAGGCGTCGGCCAGATCCCTTGTTAACTACCCGCAGCGTCATTCTACTCAGACCGTAATGATCTATTTATGCCTCGGCACTGTTCATTCCAAAGAGAAATATATGTTAATGAGGAAAGATTGGAGGTTGTGGACATTTTGAATATTTTGGGTCATTGATTAGCAACGATGGTGACACAATGAAAGAAATTAATCGACAACTATCAATTGCTCTTCAAAGTCTAAAACTACTGAATAAATTATGGAGTGGGACAGACAGAACTACAAAAATTAGATTTCTAAGAGCATGCATCTTTCCCTATGCAACATACGCCCGTAAGACCTGAACGCTGAACAGAGCATAAAAGCCTTTGAATACATATGTTATAGACGGGTTCTAAGAATATCATGGGTAAAGAAAAGAACAAATGCATCCATACTTCAATACCTGAATACAGAAGAAGGTTGACTATTAAAAACGATTTTAAAAACCCCAAAAATGTTTAGGGAGAGCAGTAATGGAGGGGTATATGCCTGGGACGAGAGGAAGAGGAAGGCCAAAGAGAAGTACAGGATGTGGCGGATGATCTCCAGATGGGTATATCAGACGTGGAACAACTTGCTTGTGAGGGAGAAGTTTTCCGGTAGGTTGTTATCAAAGCACGGTGCTGCAAAGGTCATGCCACTGACTGACTGTTCATACGCTCCCAAAGGACCCTCACAACATTTAGATTGTCATAAATCAATTCGCCACCTAGTCGCGCAGAACCGGCCAGTCGACCTACCTGCTCTTTTCCCAATACACCAGCCTGACCAGTAGAAGATAGGAGTATACAAAGAAGAAGAATGTGGAGATGATGTTGACAAAAGAAAACGTAACAAAAGAGGAAAATGAAGAGGCGTTAAAGAATGTAGAACGGAAAATGAAATGACATGAAAAAGAGGAAACGACGAGGAAGAGATAAAAGTGGGTGGAGGAAATATGAATGAAGTTGGTGGGAAAAGAGCAGGACGAAGACTCTTCATGTGTGTGTGTATATATATATATATATATATATATATATATATATATATATATATATATATATATATATATATATATATATATATATATATATATATATATATATATATATATATATCACAACACACACACACACACACGGATAACACAGTTATATTAAGTCTTCATAAGTGAACAATAATTTAATTCTGAAACAACAATGTAAGTCATGTGAAAGTAAGTTGCGTATAATTTACAGGACGTTACAGAACCAACCCCAGCATTTATTGGCTTTTTTTTTCATAAAAATGTTACGTTCGGTAGTTTGCCATTGCTTCTTGAAGTCATGTACAGTTAGTACAAAAAAGATTATCTATATCCCAAGAAGTAATTCTGAAAATGTCTTGGATATGTCACAATGGTACTGGCGTTTTGAAAAAAAAAAATGAGTAATAAAATAATCCGCCCAGAAATAAATATCCAGAGACAACTCACGTATTTGCATGTATCATTAGAAAGGTAAGCTGAAAAATGCCACGACAATAGAAAGGACAAAGGAAAAAAGACACGAGAAGGCTTAATAAAAATGCGAATAGACCTCAAGACTTTGTAACAAATAGAAAAATGAAATATCTGAAGACTTTCAAAACCCTATGTTTGGTTAGGAAAGGGGAAACGCCTTTACAGCAGCAAATCTAAGCGGAAGGCGAGCGGAAGATTAAGAAAGAGGCGGATAAATGGTATAGCAGAAACTTGCAAAACGAGGAACAAATCTATCACCCAAGCCACCCGAGAAGAAAAATACAGAAAACCCACGACACTGGGCTACACCCTGGTATCAGTGAAACGACAAGAGAAGAAGATAGCAACATATACAAGTGAATTTTTACCTTGAAGTGCTATTGTTGTATATTCCTTTGTCATACATCAATTTCTTCTTCGAGTTTCCTAGAATTTCGTAAGCTTCCTTTATTTCGAGAAAACGGGAATTGTTTTGTGGACACTTTGTGCGATCAGGATGATACAGCTTTGACAATTTGTAATACGCACTTTTGATCTCACTTTGTGTTGCATTTGGTTTCAAGCCAAGCACATCATAATAATATGTTGATGCATTGCCTAACTTCCTAGACAAATGTCTTTGTGTTTGATAACAGCAGTAAGCTCCATTACTAAGGAAAGACGCGAAGCTACATATATCCTTAACACGGAAATGCAATCGCATGTTTAGGTTTCTTTTTCATATTAAACGATGCATAAAAACCTAAATTGTACTAAGACAAAAAGCATGTTAGGTTTAGGTAAATACTAAATCATAACCGCGATGAAAAGATGTTCACTGCACTAAGGACATTTCTGGAATGTACACATAAGTGTACATGATTTGCGAAAAAAATCTAAAATGTAAATGATGGTTCTTATAATTATTTCGTGTTGACACATCACTTCAGCCATCTTATGAAGACTGGTTACCAAGTGTTTTACGTGTCTTTCACATACATACGCAAAGGCAATGTTGAAACTCTCGAGGTCATAATATTAAACAGGTAAAGTAGATTTATATTAGATGTGCTCAGACTTATCTTCTTCTTCTTTTGTCAAAATCTGCTTGTGCCGCTAGGCGTCGCAGTCTATCAGATGATCGGCAACCGAGCCAGGGCGCGCTCAGTCGCTTCATATGCTGTGATGTTATGAAGTCTCAAGTTGTCCGTGACTCCTTCAATCCATCTTCTTCTTGGTCTTCCCCTGCCTTTTGTTGTTTCGATTTTCATGTTGTATGCTCTTGATGCTGGCATCGTTGGTTCCATTCTCATTAGGTGACCAAACCATTTCATTCTTTGCTTCTCAATAAATTTAACGATGGGTATGGTTCCAATAGTTCTTGTAATCACATCGTTTCTCACTCGATCTCTTCTGGTTTTATTCGCAGCCATTCTCAAACATCTCATTTCACAGGTGGTTAGTCTTCTCTCATGTTCTTTTGTTAATGTCCAAGTCTGACATTGATAACCTTATCAGACTTATCATGGCAAATAATTACAAAGTAACAGAAAAATACACAAAAATAACACAAGACAGCATTCTTTTTGACCCGAACGGACAAGAGTAAAATGAGACACTATCGGTCTCATTTGTTACCATTGTGAAGCTTTGAAATACATGACACCGTGAAATGCATGGAGCCATGAAATATCTGGAGCCATAAACTTAATTTATCCCTGACCAGAATTCAAGGATTTTCCCGCAGTGGCATGGCGACGTCCACGAAGACTTAATCTCGTCAGTATGATTGACAGCCTTTATATAGGATCCCAGGGTATCAAGAAGAAGTGGACTGGCAAGGCAGACTTTCTTGGAGCCTGTCTGTGCAATATTTTCGGGAGGGCTCACGTCCAGAGATTTCCATTTCTGGTCTATCAAAACGGAGGCAGAGACCTCCTTTACTCGTACATCGTCAGTTTTATCATGTTTGGAGTTCCGGCAATGCTTTTGGAGCTGACTCTTGGGCAATATAGCAGTTAGGGTCCAGTGAACTGTTAGGGGTTTTGCCCCTTATTTTTAGGTTGCGGTATGTCAGTGGTGGCCGTGTCTTTTTGACTGGCATCTACTACTCTGTGCTGGTATCTTGGGCGATGTTATTCTTCTTTGCAGCCATGACATTCCAGGAACCTTGGTGGAAATATGGGCCTTGGAGCACACCTAATATTTCGGACATGGGTACATTTATGAATAAATCCGAATGTTGGAAACAGAACTTTACACTTACAGATAACGGCTTATGTACGGATCCCAATGAGACACAAAATATTACTTATACCTGGAGCTACGAAGTTGCCAGGAAGCACGGACTGTCAATTACATTCATTACCAACGAGTTTTTTTACGGTGCTATTCTAGGAATCCGAGGCCACACGATTGAAAACCTGGGCCGTCTGCAGTTTCCCATTGTCGTGACGCTCCTGCTCACATGGGCTCTTGTGAGGATGTTTCTTATAAAAGGAATCCACATCTCGGCCAAGATGCTGCTTCCTATCTTTATCTTGATTGTACTTGCTGTCCGAGGCCTGGGGCTGGAGGAATCACAAAAAGGTATAAGGTCTTTTTTAATCCTGGGGATGTCGTGAGAAGTAAAGACGATAATCAAACTCTTCAGATCTGGGACACTGTCGCAAAGCACATTTTCTTTACACTGACAGCATCCTATGGGGGACGTATAGCTTTGGCTCGATACAACGATTTTAATTACAACATTTTCAGAGACATTATTGCCACGAAACAGCACACACTTCTTTTCGTCTTAGACTCGTCTAGATCTTCTCACTTCTATGCAAACGAAGTTCGATTTAAAAGTGGATTGGCCTTTATAGGTAAATAGTCCATCTTTTGTTGTTAGGTGTCTATATGTTGAGTTAAGTACTCCAAAATGTCCTAATTGTCTTAGGAACATTATATTTTCAAATTCAACCTTACAGGTATGAGATTCATTATTAATGAAGCCAAAATTCCAATGGCCAAATTACCGCTTAGACGCGAATGAGTCTCCTCCCGCTTTCTTCGGGAGAGACGCTGGGGTCAGTGTTGCCACTTTGGATGTTTTATATCCAGATTTATATGTTTTTCCTTGCATTCAGATGGTGTTTTTGACGTATATAGCCGGCGAACGCGAAGAAGAAAATATTACATGAATATTAAAAAATTGCTATCACAGTCATGTGTCCTGTCGTTAAGCGTATGCTGTCATTTTTCCCCATCTCACACGATCATCAGAGTCAAACATTATGTCAGTCCTCGTGTCCCGCCCAGTCCATATGATCAATCCAGGTATTCATCTCTTTGCATTCCGCTTGCTCTTTTCCCATCAGTCTTGCCAATTGTATCGTCATCTTCTTCTTAGCTTTCACTTGCGGAAAAGTCATGTTGCTCGTCTACTTCTGGAATTTCGGCCATATTCCAGAACCTCAGTTTTCTGTGCACATCCGTTTTACCTATCTTGCTTATTTGTATGCAGACCATTGGTTCCTTGCTTCTCCTACAGATGTACTGTAGCTTAAAAGGAAATGCCTTACGAATTCTTGTTGGGAACAGTGCGTTTATTCTCCTCCCCTCCCCCCCCCCCCTTTTCCATCCTACATGGGGTTCCGGAAGCCACACGGGGAACGTTGTGACTAAAGTCTGTTTTTCCTCATAAAACCTCAACAATAACAAAAACCCACAGACTGTTTATGTCTACTTTTATCTAATTACGGTGTTCATCTCTCCCGAGATATCTTCCATGTTGAGCCTTCTTCTTCTTCTTCTTCTTCTTCTTCTTCTTCTTCTTCTTCTTCTTCTTCTTCTTCTTCTTCTTCTTCTTCTTCTTCTTCTTCTTCTTCTGCTTCTTCTTCTTTGTTGACTGGCTGTAAGCTGATAGATAATTTCTTGGCTGTCCATTTTGGACTTTGGCTTTGTGCCAGGACCTGAGTTATGCGTGCACATCCATTTGACTGACTTACTTGTGTGCAGTTGGTTGTTCCTTACCACTCGGGCAGATGTACTCCGACTTCGCAGGAAGTCCCCAATTAGTCGACTTCTACGACATGCTTGTTGGGAAGGCAGTGGGTCTATTCTTGTTTTTCCCACAGCAGTGGGAAACACACATGCGGTAAAATTTAACCTAAAGGAACATGTTCAAACCAAAGAGGAGCTTGTGACTAGGATGCGCACTATCGCCTGATCTATTTATTATGTTTTATTATTATGCAGTGAATATATAATTAGATCTATAATGGAAATGCCCAGGCATTGTGGCTGGTAGCCATACTGTAAATAATACACGTTATGCTGATAACGCGGTCTTGATGGCGACAAGTCAAAAATAAGTACATGAAATATTAGATACGGTGGTGGCAGATATAAGAATGTTATTAACAGAACACGTCTTCTTCTTCTTTTTCTTATTCCTCTTGTTCTTATTTTTTTCTTTTTTTTTTCTTCTTCTTTTTCTTCTTCTTCTTCCTTTTCTTTTTCTTCTTCTTCTTCTTCTTCTTCTTCTTCCTTTCTAGCCCTCAGTAGAGCACAGGCTGTTAACTCACGTCAAGTCGATCTATCCTTCTCCATCGCATGCAGCCCTCCCCATGTCCTCCCCATTTTTTTAACTTCATCTCTACTCCCTTCTCCAAGTTTTCTTTTTCTTCCTCTACTGCTATGCCTCTGTGGGTTCCAGTAGACCAGGGCGTGTCGGAATAAAAGAGGATGAATGAGCGGATCAACTGCCAGGTATTACACCACTGAATGGGAATGCTGCATGGACTGGGCAGATATCATCAAATTGTACGTTAACACAATTGCATGAATTCGGAGTGAAGTTTGAAGTCAATATAGGGGGGGGGGGGGGCGGCGGGAATAACCAACGTTTTATGAGAACAACCATCAGACGTACCATGGGATTGCTGCTGCATCGGAAGACTGAACACGCATAGGACTGCCCAATGTAGTGACGTTCGATTGTAATAACATCAATCGCCATCGTTCATTTCAAGTAGTCCGTATGAATAGTAAGGGAAATAACCTAATTATTTATGGGTAACTCTGGTGTATAAGAGTAATGTACAGAAAAGATAAGACCCTACAAAAAAAAAAGTATATCAGCAAGCTTCACAATGTAACAAACACAAACAAAACGTGAACGTTGCGGCTACGAAGCCTTTATCAGCACATACATAAATCAAACAAGACCACACAAATACACAAAATCACTTTGCCTAGTATCTCGAAGCAGCCAGGTCGATGTCTTGTCAGTAGACTGACGAGACACGTGGGACATGAGAATCAATACCCCTGGTTCTGGTGAATAAAAAAATGATAAAAGAATAATGTACGCGATTATCAAAATAACTTCTTTTAACAGTTATGTTACCCTTACATCTAAGTTTAGGACACTGGTTGCAGAATTATTTGTATAGGAAAAAAAATTGTTTCGAGCAACCTAATAAATCATTTGGTATTAATCAAGTATCAAGCAGATTTATGGTGAAATTTCGCAGAATAAAAGAAAATGTATATATGCAGTGCCAGTTAATCTCCGTAACCATATGGGACGCATTTTTCGATATTTTGAAGCCCCACCCTGGTTGTTGCCGGGTGCCCTAATAGAACCTAACGGTTGAACGGGGTTTCTGGGAAGTCTCCATGCGTGATCCTCATACGAATGGTGGCATTTTATGTCACTGGGTGTTTATCGCTCAG